CATTCGGAAGCAAAGTTCATCATACAACTAAGAGACAGATGCGAAGTCTGATGGGAATACATAATGATAGGGGAGGTGGAAAATACCTTGGGCTTCCTGAACAGTTCGGAGCTAAAAAGGGCGAGATGTTTCAATACATAAAGAAGAAGGTTACTGCTAAAACGAAAGGATGGAACAACACCTTTCTATCAACAGGAGGTAAAGAAGTCCTCCTAAAATCCGTAGCAAGTGCAATGCCGGTATTCTCTATGAACGTATTTCAGATACCAAAGAAGATCACATATGAAATCAATGCTATCTTAGCAAAATTTTGGTGGGGGAAAGGAAACGATCAACAAAGATTACACTGGTATGCATGGAAACGACTCAGTCTATCAAAAAAAGAAGGAGGACTCGGTTTTCGTGATCTCGAACAATTTAACAAGGCGTTTCTTGCCAAACAAGTTTGGCGCATCCTACAAAACCCACTACTACTGTATTTATTTGTAGTGAATTTGCAAACAAAATTTCTGATAAAATAAAAGAAAAGTACGGTGGTTTGTAAGATGTTTGAACTATATTTTTTTATATCTTATCAAATATACACAATTACATAAGAAATTTGAGAAATGATTTATATGTTTTTATTAATATGCGGTTTAAAAGATGAAAAATAACTGAAATGAATTGCCAGTTTCAACAACAACAAAATGAGTTACCACTTTAACCAGTTCAACAGACTGATTACAACATGGTTTATTATACATACATAACTTATTATCCTGCATTTTCACCCTTTTCTATAATAACGTTTGTAACGAGGGAGAAAGTAAACAAATTCCAAGCGCAAGTCCTGGTGGTCTCGAAAAATGACATCAAACACCTGCAAAATAGGTACTCATCAAATCAAATACGAGAACACTGAACACACACAAAAAAACAATTTATGTTACACACATAATATACCTCAAGAAAGACCTCAGTAACACTTTTCTTGTCTTGTGTATACATATGCAATATCTTTAAAAATGATCGGTGTGCACGATTGTTTTGTAACCTTGCCTACAAATAAACGATATATAAGAGGTTATAGCAAAAACAGAAAGAATAATATAGTAGGGTTAGAATAAAAAAATGGAGTTATAATTGTTTAATTTTAAAATTTTAAAATTTTGATAGAATAATAAATAGTAAAATCAAATCATGATCCGAATTGTCCATCCCCGTTTTGTACCATGAGTGAGTGTGCTTACCTTAACCTTATTGATAAAAACAAGAGCTTCCTCCTCAAACTTAGGATCTTTTAGTAGAGATTGGTCACTCTCGAGTGTTATCTTGTAACCCTTCGGCATAAACTTGTTGAAAGCCAAAATCAGTTCTTGGTGTCCTTTGAAGAGGTCTTTGACCCTTGATCTGACATCACCATGACTAATTCTGCATTGAAAATATCATCAAATTCTTCAGTCCCCCCATAATCATAAGACTAATTATTATGTGGAGAGAAACTGAACAATTTTAAAAGAAAAATTTATCGTTAACACATAGAATATACCTATTAGCTTTGAAGTCCATCATGACTTTCACAAATGTATCATATTTTTCACGATTATCTTTAAATGTAATCCTCACAGCACGGGCTAATTCATATGCAGCTCTTGTGGTTTGTCTCGTTACAGCCATGATTTGAAATTGCCTAGAATATCATTAATAATTCAGAAAAGAGAAAGTATATCAATGTAAATCAAACGCAAGACACAATAAACAAATTCAAAACCTATACATCAAATGATCGAACCCTGAAATAATTAAAATATACGTACTAACAAAAACATCCAAGCATCAGATCTATTAACCTAAGGAAAATCATGTAAAATATTGCAATGAACTTCAATGCTAACATCCAAGCATCAGATGTTATTTCACAATACGAACATAAAATTCTCGAAATGTGAAATCAAAAGAAAAATGATAAGATAAAACTAGAGAAGCTCGTACAATTATCGAATCTTGCCTAGATCTAGAGTGAAAAAAATTTCCTTACGTCACACAAAGCACGTTGATAAGACTTGAAGAATTCCAACAAAGATAGACTAGATAAATTTGGTTTTACATTTTTACATAAATGACACTTATATAGAGATGGTAAAATCTTTTTTTTTTTGTCAACAACTAAATCTTCTTTCTAAGGTAACATTTTCATTGGTTTTCTCGACTTTTTTTCCTTTTTCTCTTTTTATTTAAATAATTAAAAAACATTGTACTACCCATATTGTTAGAAAAGACTTACATGACTATATCATAATTTTTTAATTAACTTTTGTACTTAAAAACAAATCTCTATAATTTTAGCTATGAAAACTTAAACATAATTAAAACTATAATATGTTTTGTTTAAAAGGTTTATTTTCAATATATGATAGAATTTAAACATGAAATTTGTTTTAAATAAATTTAGATAATGTTGATATTGTAATTACGAGAATGGTTAAGGAGGTTTTATCAATTTACTGAGAAATTTATATTGAATTGACTACTAAAAAACATCAAAGGAAAAAAAATGGAAGAAATCTAAAGTTAAAAAGGAAGGTAATTAATATTGAATAAAGAAAAGTAAGTTATTCCTTACCTAATTTCTAATAATATATAGGCTGTCAAAAAGAAAAGATTTTTTTCTATAATATAGTAGATATTCAACAACTTATTCTAAAAAATACATAAATATTAATACAGTAGCTGGCATATATATATATATATATATATATATATTATAGCATCCAAGTCTGCATAAATGAACATAAAAAAAAAAAATTGACCATTTGGTTTGGTTGTGACTTTTGTATCCGACTGATTTTAACTTATAATTTTTCCGGTGGTGTTGAGTATTGATGCGCACATAGAGAGTTCAACCAAGTTAACCGACAAGAGATCACCAAACCAGACCAAAAATATTTAGATTATGTGTTTTGATATTTCTTTTTAATTATTCTGTTATTGTTCAACAATTAGAGAAATAGTCTCCCTTATGTTTAGGGGACCTATCTCTCCAATTTCTCACTTCCCTTTATGTTGTTCTTTCTATACATGTTCAAATTGTCTATAAACGAATTTGTATGGTCGACCATCGTACAGAAACCTTGCCTGCAGGGACAAAAAAATCTCTACCTTGACCAAGCTTCTTTGGTGGAGTATTGTGGCCACCCTCGAGGGTTATTTGGGAACTACTTGGTAAGAATCTGTTGAAACCCAAAAGAGTTCTCTTAATAGTCATAATATGACACCACTTTTACCAATTCTACCATAAAAATATATTAAGAGTTAAGGTTTCACAAGTAGCAAAAAAGCTATACCTCTCAGCTCTTAATTCCCGAATGACTTGAAAAAACTCGTCATGTATTTCACAATCATCTTGGACTTTAGCATTCACAGTCTTCACGTATTCGATTGCATCCCCTTGGGATAGCTTTAGTGCAACCATGCTTTAAAATTTCCCATTGCCTTCGTCATTATCCAATTCCAGGGAAAGAGTTTTAGCAGCAACAACATATCACTGTGTTGTCTCCAATCACATTTTTTACAACAATGGAAATGTGAAAATTATATATCTATTGCGCAAGTCTGCAATAAAAAAAACTGAAAATGTACGTATATATACTAAAAAGAAATCACCCTCGAAATTATCACAACTAGAAACAAAACGAAGCTGATCGAAGCTATCAACCAGAAATTGATCGATCTAACTTAATCTCTGATTGTTTCAGATATATATCGATATAAGAACCAAACACTAGTACGTCGCCGGCGTAAATCATCTGTCAAGCGACGTGAACGCTTGATCTCATGTTGGCTCTACCGACCAATTGTGGATGTTCAGACTAAACCGTTACCATGGAAACGATTTCGAAACTTGGCAGCCAAGATTCGACTTACTATGGGACGTCCATCTTCAAGGGTGTTAGTATATATATATCCTATTAATTATTCTGTTATTATTTTGTTATAGATATACTAGGATCTCTTTTAGACCTATTTCTTATTGTGTATTTAAACACGTGTTCACATCATCTGTCTGAGGTAAGCAATTCCAACAAAAAAAAAAAAAATCCACATTTTGATATTTATTCACACCGTAATGTAAATAGGCTAAACACTGGAAAAAAATTTAGCATGTTTTCACACTGATATTTATCCAAAATGTTTTCTAACGCGGTTTGAGATTGTTGTGATCATGCATAGAGTTCAATCAGTTTTTATTATATATATTATGATACGAATAAAGAATACTAAATTGGTTTAACTAATGATAAAATAGCATAGATTATGACTGAGACAAAACCGTATACGTGACCTCTATTCTATGGCCAAAAAGCATTTTATTTAAAGCTCATGAGCCGGTGAACTAGACCTGAGTACGTTGAGTTTAGTTAAATTTGGATGAGTTTATTTTCTGTTACTCTTCTGTATTATTTATTTTTTGTTATAAATTTTGGTCAAAGTCAGATTTAGGACCAATGTTATTTCGGTGAGAATTAGGAGCGTCTCGTGAGGCTCCTCACTATTATTTCGTAATGTAGAGCTAAGCAAAGCCAAGATATTTGCAAACATAACAATGTACTGGTGAAGAAAAACAAACACAGAACTAATGATGACTTGGTCAAAAATATTTGCAGCTTGGATGGTTATCCAAATTTTCTTTTTGTTTTTTATTTTGGTAAGCAATGCTTTCTATGCTTATCTTGTTTGCATCAACATCATAATCTCTACGGTTAACTCGTAACTATTTGGTAAGAATGCATTGAAACCCAAAACTAGTTCTTGTTTCCCCCTTGACGAGTTCTTTTAGTCTTGCTCTCTGTTAGTATCGATTCTACCATGAAAATATATACCATCAGAGTCATTTCATCTGACATAAGAGTCGTACCCAAAATTTATTGAAACTTATATAATGATGAATCAAAGTGTAATCCATACAATAATGCGTATTTGAGTAAACAAGATGGAAAGCAGATACGGTGGCTCGACTACAACATGACTTCACTGCATGCATAACGCATCCTTCTCTGTAATATCATCTTTGTCTATAATGAGGGAGAAAATCAGCGAATCCCACAAGCAAGTCGTGATGGTCTCGGAAAAGGATAGTCACCTACAAAATAAGCATATCATCAAATCCAGCACAAGGAAAATGAAAAAAAGAAAACATTTTATACACACACACATATATATATATATACCTCTTGGTAGACCTCATTAATGCTCTTGTCCTTCCTATACATGTTCAAAACGTCTAAAAATGAGTTGTATGCATGTTCATCGTCCTGAAATCTTGCCTTAAGATAAATGATAACTATGAGAAAAGTAGCAAAATTACAAACTAAGAAACAAAAATCCTAATAAAATTCTAACCGAACTATATCGTAACTATACTTAAAAGTTAAAAACATAAATCTTGAACTTCAACTTTTTACTTCAAAATCCAAACAAAATGATTTTTTTCCTAATTATAAAAGATTCAACATATGTTTGGTCTAGATTTTTAGATCTTTTTTTTTTTGTAAATGTACACATTACAATATTAACTTCTTCTTTTTGAACAAAAGCCAAACCGAATTTACATTAAACAAAACCGAATTACATATGGTTATATTTGGTTCGTTCAGTTATCATAAGTTCATAACATTGGTATAAATCAAAAGTTACATAATCAGAATGAAACTCAAACTGTAAACCCTATTTCCTAGCCAGGTTTAATGCACCTACCTTAACCTTATTGATGAAACTAATCGCCACGTCAAAGTCAACATTATTCGGTAGAGTTTGGTCACTCTCCTCGAGGGTTATCTCGTAACCCGTTGGCAAAAATGCATTAAAACCTAAAAGCAGTTCTGCTTGCCCCTTGAAGATTTCCTTCACTTTTAATATGACACCACTAGTATCAATTCTACCATGAAAATTGCCATCAGATTCTTCAGTTCCACAGATCGTAACTTAGAGTTGAAACTGATTAATGAAAGAGCAAAACCAATAATTGAATTGGAGGAAAGAAAGAAAAACCTTTGAGCTTTGAAGTCCTTCATGACCTCAAGAAAGGACTCATATACTTCAGGTTTGTCTTGAAATTTCTCCTTCACAACCTTGAGATAACCAAGTGCATCACTTGTAGTTAGCTTCACTCCAACCATGCTTTGAAATCAGCAAGAGCTTCAATATCCAGAGAAATAGAAAATATATCAAATATAAAACACACAATATTAATAATACTGAAGATCAATCGCAAGTCTCAATAAACGAATTCACCATCTATATAACTAAATAACCATGGACAAAGAATCTCGGAAATCTTGCAATGGATCTCGAAGCCATCAAACCAGAAAATTGGAATATAACTTTCTCAGATTAATTCAAAATTTATTTCGATATAGTTTCACTTCAATGGATAAACAAATGAAATCAAGACAGATGTAAGTGGAAGAACATCAATCAAAGTTGGCGGATACATAAACAATTTTTCTCCTTACCTCTCACAAGGCAGATACAAGAGTTACGATTTCCACAAAGAAAGACAATAAGATTTTGGTTTTTACAAGACTACACGTAAAGCTTATATAAAGGAGGCTTATGTTACATTAACACAATCTTTTTTTTTTTTGTTTTTTTTTTTTTGTCTGGGTTCAACTACAATCTTTTTGTTAGCATAACAAAATGATATCCTCTCCTTTTTTGGCTTTTTTCCTCTTTTTATATGATTTCTCACTAAGAAAACTATTCGGTATCCTTTCTTCACAAATTTAAAAATATTCGAAAAGTCAAGTTGCTATGGATAATGCTGGGTAAATATCTGCAATACGCGTTACGAAAAAATTTCGTTTCGCATTCCCATATCTGATTCAAATTATTATATACTATATAACAAAAAAGCAATTAATCAATCTTAATTTAATTAATGACGCCCACAATCAAACGACGACGTATGTAAATGCTAAATAATATCTGATCGTAATTTATACTTATGGGCTTTTGCCCAAAAAAAATAATTACTTATGGGCTTCTATATTTTTTTAAGTGCAACAAGGCCCACAACCATTCGACTCCATCCACGTTTGGTCATTTTCGGCTTGAAAAAACATTTTCAAGAGATACTCTATTTTTTATAGTTATAATTTGCTAAATCTTTAATTTAAAATTTGAATATGTATCTTTCCAATGGTACATCTTAATAATTTTCTGTAAATAATTATAAAGTATACATTAAAAAGTATTACAATCAAACGTAATGAATAAGATTTTGAGATTTTATTATGTAAAGCTTTATTGTTTCAGTATCATTAATTAATATTATTGTGACATGCATGAATATAGAATTCAGAGTTGTATTGTAACCTCTCTAGTGAAGAAGAAGTAGAGATGGTAACACCTTTGTAAACTATATGAAAACCTTAAAATCTCTCCTTCTTGAGACACATAACATAACAACCAGGAAGATTCTTCCAGGATTATCAATTAATCCCACTCTAAGACGAGTCTAGGTAAATATTAAGCACCGTGAAATTCATAGAATGTATATTATTAATACGGGGACATGATTCTCCTTTCCTTCTTAATATTTATCAAATATTAATATAGTTTATATTTGTAGTTATATAATCTAATTTTCTACTTTAATTTTTGTGAAAATATATTTTAACTTTAAAAAAAAGAACATAAACGAGAAGGTTCAACATTGGAAAGCTAAACTTGAAACTATTGAATCAGTAGTATTGATGAAAGGTACTTAATTAGCGAACATAGACGCAAGTAGGCTGGTTTCCAAACTCAGTTGCCTTCCTCGGAGTCTGAGAGCCAGGCTCGAACCTTAACGTGGCTTCATCACACACATAGTTCATCTTTCCGCTTGTCCCATATCTGCAATCCGGTAGAATCACTCGTGATCCGAATCGTATTTCACCTCCTTTCTTGATATCCTCCATAATATCTTTCACAACCGCACCGTCCATATCTCCCTCAGAAGCAATCGCTGAAACATTAAGCTGCTGAGGCCAATGCGGTATCAAACTTTATCTGATTGATCATGAAGAGGAGTGAATCTTAATTAATTTTTATAAACATAAAGTATTTGAACAAAGAAGTTAAATCGTTTTAAAAAATAATTACAAAAGTATTTAAAAAAAAAAAAAAAAACAGGACAATAGAATTTAAAGGAGTGTTACCTCTCCATGGATGAATTAGCGATGGTAACACCTTTGTAAAGTATGAGAACCTGAAAATCTCCTTTGAGACACGTAAAGTGACCAGGAAGATCTGGAGGGATCCTGATCAATAAATCCCACTTTACGCTAAGACGAGTCTCTGTTAAGTTAAGCACCGTGAAATCAATAGAAGGTATTGTAATTTTTGGAACGTAATTTTTTTTTTCTTCGTAGTCTTTATTTCCAACGAAAATCAATCCACCAATCATAGCAAATGCTAAGACGAAGGCCAAGACAGTGACGACAAAGTTCTCGACAAACTTTTTTCGTGTAAGTGTATCCGATTGAGAAGTGAGTTCGGGGGCAGACGCTTCGTATCCCATGTTAAAAAAAAATTCTTTCAGAAGATTTTGATTAGTGTATCTCTCATTTTCGTTAACTCTTTATATTCAGGCTAATCTTAATACCCAGGGAAATAGGAGATTTTATATGTATATAACTCTTTTAGGATTACCAATTCTCTAAGTTTTCTATTTCTTCGGATTCTTTGTAGAACAAGGTTTCTATATATCTAATTTCTAAAAAGAGTAATTATCTCTAAGGATTTATTCCATACTAAGATATTGGCCTGTACGCATGTGCGGGCATGAACAATTTTAAAAATATAATTATCTAAATACAATATTTAAATCCGTCTTAGATATTTTATTTTTTTGTAGTTTATGAAACTCAAGGTTAGTGTTTTGAATTATATGACTTTTAATTTAATAGTAAAATATGATCTAATTTTATATAAACATTTTGTTATAATAAAATGTTCATTTATATTTTGAGACAGACTTGAAAAATAATAATTAAATTTGGAAAACACAAAATTATTTTTCCATGAACAGGTTTTGTAAAACTTGACCCGCTATGTTAGATGGTCAAATGGGTTAAACCCATGGATAGTTGGTTACCTTCTTCGGATTTGCTGATTAGGCTGCAAATTTTATCTTCTCTGTCTTTTTTCTTTGAACAAACATTTTTCATTTTCTTTGTCTTCCTATAATCTTCTTCAATTTAAAACATCATTTCTTCAAGGATTCCGTCATTGTTGATCTCGATCTATCATATGTGTGATTTTTCTACTTATAATTTTATCAAATAGACTCTACAAATAATTGCAAGACCATCTCCACTTAAGCATCAAGTGCTTCAACTAACCATACTACAAGACATGTTTCAGCAAAAGTTAGATATAAAACTCTGTTTACTGTCCTGATATCTTTGAAACATACTGGTCCTCTCTGAACATTTAGCAATATTTTAAGGTAGAAAAGCTCACAATATTCTTCTAAAACTTCTGGAAGGCTGATATTGTAGGAAACATTATTTTTCTGTTGCGCATATGAGAGAGCCACTTCTTAATTTTTTGATGTCAAATCCATTTGTTTGGAACTTCAGTGTAGCGATAAAACTTTGCTTTATTACACTCATGATTGGAGTCTATCCAACCTTTAAGTTTCATTTTTGCTATATTCAATTTAGGTAAATGGATTGGTAGAATTGTCATGCCCGCACTTTGAGTTAGGGTTTGATTTGTTTGATACTCATGTATATTGTGATGTTTTCTTATATAAGGACCCGAGTATTTAACTTTTTTTATTACGTAGTTATTTGGCATGAACGTGATTTTATGTGGATTTTTTTGGTTTTTATTAAATGGACATTAAAATTTTAAAATAATGTAGAGGATTGCAATTTTGGTTTTTCATTAAATGCACATTAATTTTTTAGGATATCTAACGTTTGTTAAGAAAAGTAACGTAGATGATTATTAAATCAAAATCTTATATTTATATTTGTTATTATTTTTAAACTAAACTAATTTTAAATTTTGAATGTTCTACAGAAGATCACAATAATATTTTATTTTTTTATTATAATTTTGCCAACTGAACTTTGTGAAATCATATGTGCACGTAAATGGAGCACCACATTTACATAAAATATGAAATATTAGGTAAATGATTTGATCAATGTGATTTTGTTACTATAATTTTACCTACTGTGAAGTATATGAAAACATATGTGCATGTATTCTATATGAATATATTATTATTATATATATGTAGATATGTGTATATATGGAAAGTCACAGTGGTCTACGACAGAGCTATAGTAAATTTTATAGGTATATAATATAGTATTATCCATAGTATTATAATATATATATATGTATTAAAATCATCACCTTCAGCCCAAAATTTATCTACTATTACCCATGTAGATAAATAATAATATCAGGCCATTCATAGTGTATATGACGAATCATTACATATTTAGTTATTAGTACATTAAATTTTGTCATCTAATTAATTTTTTTTTATGGAAATATCACAAAAATTCTTTTTGTCATGTCATCAACCACATGTGTTAGTAAATGTCATGTCACAATTACATCATCATTACACATCATCATTTCCATGTCATATTTAATTAGGGTAGACAAAAGATTTTAACCAATCAGATTAAAACAAATCAGCATTTTTTCATTAAACTACATTCTCAATTAATAGGTAGAGGATATCTAATTTCCATCTTGTATATAATTACCAACTAGGTGGTTGGCCCGCACGTATGTGCAGGTATAATTTTTTTAATATACATAGTTAATTGTAATTTTTAAATATTGATTAGTTTTTTTAAATATTGGTATGTTTGTATATATATATATATATATATATATTGTTTTAATATTTCAAAAACTTCTTTCTGAAACCAATGTATTTTAAAATTTTTTATATTTATAATGCTTGTAATAATATATAATCATAAATATAAAAGTTATGTTAAATAATAGTTAAATTCTTATAATATTTTGATTATTTCTATATATGTTATATTTTTCCTTACACAATCTACAATATGCTTTTTTGCGTCTTACAAATTTACAAATACATATATAATATATTTAAGTATATATTTTTCTTGATTTATTGCAAATTAAACTGAAATAGTTTTTACCATTTTTACTTATTCCTAAAAGCGGATAGATGATTGGCACGCATGTGCGAGCATACCAACCACTTCACTACACTTAAAATAGATATTTTTTTTAAAAAACAATAAATTGTATAATATTTAAAATAAAAATTAGACTGTAATCAATCTTAACAAAATATATGCACGGAAAAATTCGCATGTGACTTCAACTAATGTACAATTAATATTTATGTATGTACGCGTATTTGTAAAAAAATTAAAATATGGCTCTTACGTGTTAAAAAAAATTTAAGTGACTTTGTAAAACAAAGTGCGAGAGATTTACTTTTATATACTTTTATTTTTATTTCTGATTCATATTGTTTTATCTTATTATAATTTAGTTTTGGTTCGGTTATTTTTTATTTCATTTATGATCTCAAAAATTTTATATACAATGAAAATAAATTTATGATATAAATTTTTATTTTTATTCAAAATATGATAAGAGATAAGATGAGATGGTAACATAAGTTATGTACATTTCATAAAACAACAATAAAAAAATGATAAAAGTTATAGAAAAATATATGGTCCTATTAATATTATAAAATAATAATTATTATACTTTATTCAATTAGTAAATATTGGTTTGAAAATAAAATTATTCAAAATTACGTTTTTAAAAAAACATTTCAATAAAAGTTAATTATTTTATTTTTTGACATTTTATTCTTTAAATTATTTTTATCATGATTGTATTTTATTTAAAATTGTATTATTTAATAATTTTTTATTTAAAACTTGTTTAGATGTTATGAATATATTTTGTAAATTAATAACTTTCCGATATAAAAATATATCATACTTCAAGTATTATTAATAAATAGAATTTTTACTATTTTATTGGATAATTTAGTATTATTTTTTTGTTTTTATATGAAATTATAATATATATATATATATTGTTGAAAAAAATTCGTAATTATATTTTATAAAATTATGAATATATGTAAAAAATTGAAATTATAATAACTTTTATTTTCTGTTAATTTAAATTTCTTAATTTTAATGTTAATATAATCTAGTTTATTTATGTTTTAATTTCACAACTATAATTTTAATTCAACCAATCAAAACAGTTCGTTTATTTTAGGAAGTTTGACATGTCATATTTAAATGTCATCAATTAAAAACACTAACTTTGGCTGTAGTGTTGACAAGTAAGCTATTTTCAATAATGTTACTTCTCAAATAATATGTAGTGGATTCTCTAAGTTTTCTATTTCTTCGGATCACTTGTAGAACAAGGTTTAAGGTTTTACTTCTATTGTATATATGTACATCGACTTCATGGTTTAAGCTACGCGTAAACAAAACGGCTACACCGTGGATGACTACGTCGGCAGATTAACCAAGATTTGGGATGGTATTGCAAGAGTGAATGCCATTAAAGCAATGCAAGTGTGGAAAGTGTGATTGCGATCTTAACACAGCCCACAAGAAGCAACACGCGACTCTTCGAGTTCATGACTTTCTCTCGGGTCTTGATGATTCTGTTCATGGCGTGGTTAGATCCTTAACTATGAGAGCCCTCTCACCGCTTCCAGACCTTGATAGTGTTGACAGTGTACCAAACGATTGTTCAGAATGACACTCTTCGCTCCACCGTGACTCAGGAAACATCACTCATCAGCTTTGCCTCTCGACAATCTTCATCAAATTACTCTCGACCACAGACCATTGTTCCATCAAATGCTAACAAAGTCTTATTATTATAATTTTTTAGATAAGGTATGAATATAGAAAGGAAATCGATACAACTACATCTATAATATTATTAGTGTACGTAGCGTCTTACAGATAAACTAAAAAAAAGTCTCAAATGCTATAGTTAACTCTTTTTAAAATACACAAATTAATTTGTCGAATTGTTTTACCTACCGCCGCATTCAAATCAAAACTAGCCGGTTGTGTATACCACAGTATGTTCTAGTCGCGAAGATAAAAATTAATTAGAAGCAAGTAATCAGGCACCTTAATCTTTTCTCGTACTTATATATAAAATTATATTTTTCCCCTCACACACCACACGTACATTGTATTGAAGTTAAACTTGATTTTGGGTTAAGCTTAATTTTGGGTTTATAAAATAATTATTAGTTATTAGATTAGGCCCAAAATTAAGCTCAAGTTCTAGAATCTCTAGAAATCATCATCTTTCTTAAATGTTCTAGAGAATTCTATTAGTTAAATATCTAGATAATTCTATAGATAATTCTAGATGTTGTAGTTAAAATTCTAGATATTATTGTAAAAAATTCTAGAGATTAAGAGAATGTTTGTAAGATATTTTGTAATAAGTGGAGCCTATAAATAGCCCACTACTCCATCATTTGTA